AGTCTATCTTGGAACCAGCATTAACTCCAATAACAATTTGAATCTATAAAATCCAGCGCAGAACCTCTCTTGCCAGCAGGTGCTACATTGGACTGAGGAGGCAATTGAAAAGTAAAGTCCTCTCTCGGCGAACGAAAACCAAACTCTACAAGTCGCTCATGATTTCTGACAAAATGGAAAGAGTCGTCGTAAGCAATTTTGGAGAGAGAGAATTTGCGAAAGGTTTATGATGCCCTGCGAGTTGGGAGCGGTGAATACCGTAACCGATGAAACGATGAGCTGTACGAGTTATACGTTAACATCAGCGAATCAAGAAACAGCAGTTGCGCTGACTAGGTTTTCTGATCCGGATGGTTAAGAATAATAGAACTTTGAAAGTTTTCGATGTAGTGCGCACCGGTGGTACCAGAAGGGAAAGAAGTATAAAGACAAGAGATGGAGGGGGACCTGGTTACACTTGGTATTTCCAATTGGCGATAAATAGAGAGAAAGGTAAAGTATAATATTTTTAACAAGCGAGTTCACTGACACAGTAGTAACGAGGATGCGTAAAAGTGTTAAATATCACCAATCATAGAGCAAATTAAATATTTTACGCAAGCGTATTTCGTTTTTGGTTAGCACATAATTGAGAAGTGTTGAAAACCACGCATGCGCGAACTCTACAATTAAATGCCTCACATTTGTGGTGCGCAAAGTTGTACAACTCTTTTGCGTTATGCAATTTTCTCAAAAAAAAAAAAAAAAAAAAAAAATGAGTCGCAAAAAGTCACAAATTTGCAAGAGGAAGGACGCGAAAAGGAAAAAACGAAGTCAATTTTTTTTTTTTTTTTGATTTCAATTAAAAATTCCAAACACATACAAATAGTTGGTTAATTGTCTGCCAGCGACCAATGACAGGCGATAAGAATCAATATCCGAAATACATAAATCGAACGGGTTTTAGGGTCCCAACACGTACCAGTCGAAATTCACGAATTAGCGCTTATTTAACAATAAAGACAACGGTATAACAAAATCATGCACAATAAAATGAAAGCACGAAAAATGTGTCAATATTCTTTGCTCGGGCGGCGGGAGACGTAGAAATTGTCAATTAAACCACCATTTCATTGAGTGGAGTGATTAACGACTCTGTTGACATGCTGAATAAATGAAAGATTTGGAACACAGATATGTATATGTATGTATATATATATAAATCTTTGTGTTAGCATAAGAATTGCTTACATTTGTCTATAGAATTTGCACATAATAAACCTTATTTGAAATCCGTTTGCAATAATTTCCACTTTAACGTGTTTCGAATGATCTCATTTGGAGCGATTTCCTATCGAACGCATCAAAGCTGCTTACGGGTGTGCGAAGTTCAGTACCGATCGTTGCAAAATGGCATAGCAAACAACCGTTATTGCCAAACGTTCGTGTATTTCTAATTTTTTCTTCAAATCGCAATCGAAATCTGTTTATAAATTTTGTTAACGACCAAAGAGCCAAATAATATTAAACAATAATAATGAATTAAAAATTAGTGTTCCAGTTAATTATTTAAATATGTGTATTGTACATAAAGGCGCAATCGCAGCGGCATGTGCCCGTGGGAATTAAAAGCTGCTTAACCGGTAAATTCGATATTTAATTGATTTTTTTGATCAGCTTAGCGCATTCATAGGAAATTGTGATGGCGAAAAGAGATATAAACATTTTTAAATAAATAAATAAATAATACTTTAACGTATAAATATATACAAATAGATGTATATATGTTCATACATACGAGGTGTGTTCAAAAAGTATCGCGAATTTTGAATTTTCGCGGGTTACGTATAATCGAAATTCGATTTTTTTTTTTGGCGTTATATTGGTACTCATGTCTGTCACTTATTCCGACAAGCTCGGCCATTTTGAATGTTCAATTAATTGTTGACAGCTGCTTGGCTTGCACGTGTTTTGGATGGTCTTCGATTTTTACCTATTAAAAAATGGATCAAAGAAGCTGTATCAGATTTTGTGTGAAAAACGAAATTAAGTTGACGGTGGCATACGGAGAAGCTACCTTGGACCGAAGCAACGTTTATCGGTGGTACAAAATGTTCTCGGAAGGCCGAGAAGATGTGAACGGCGAAGAGCGTGCCGGAAGCCCGAGCACTTCAAAAACAGACGAAAAAATTAATGAAGTGGAGAAAATGGTATTGCCACAGGGTAGAACGGTTAATACGGAATATTACCTGCAAGTTATGCGCAATTTGTGGAAGAACAAAAATTGGATTTTTCGCCACGATAACGCCCCTGCTCATACATCGTTGCTTGAGCGCGACTTTTTGGTCAAAAACAACACACTAATGATGCCGCAGCCACCGTATTCCCCAGATCTGGCCCCCTGTGACTGTGTTGAACTGAAGAGGCCCATGAAAGGACGACGTTGCGCTACGATTGACGAGATAAAGACGGCATCGAAGGAAAAGCTGTACAAGATAAAAAAAATGATTTTTTGAAGTGCTTCGAAGATTGGAAAAACCGTTGGCACAAGTGTATAATATCTCACGGGGATTACTTTGAAGGAGACAAAATAGATATTCATGAATAAATAAATAATTTTTGAAAAAACATAAAATTCGCGATATTTTTTGAACACACCTTGTAGCTTACGGCAACTACTCTGAGTGCGAAAAATATGTACAATATGAATTTTTTTTTTGTAATCAATTTCTTATCTTTATTCGCCTTCATTCAAGGTCATTGCACCGCAAGGACTTTTACTTTACTGCTGTTTACTTCACATTACTTTAGCACATTTGCCTTTCTTTGTTGACATTTATTTTTGAAATGATCACAATTCACGTGTATCCGTGTCGTTTTATTTCGTTTCTTCGTTGTATTGATTCGTTTATTGGCGGCAGCTCGCAGATAATCGAATCTTTTTCATTTTTCTTCAATTTTACTGTACACGTAAGTATGAATGGAGTCAGAATGTTGACATTAAAATGAGTTGGTAAATATTTATATTCAAAGCGTGTGTCTATGTGTGCGTGTGTGTGAGTGTGAAGCAGAAAGTGTGTAAATTATCTCATTGGCTACAAATAACTAAAGGGTAGTTCGAAAACTGTCTTCGGTCATACGATCCGGGCATGATTGGAAGGACTCATAATTTGCAAAATGTTGTTTCCAATTTAATAAAAATTTCACTATTCGGTTAAATTGAGGTATCATCGCTTTGAAAAGAAAATGAAAAAAGCATTCCAAGAAATTTAGATATTCATCTTTTAATAAATTCTTTGTTGAATTCTTCATAAATAATTTTCTAGAATTAATAACATTAATAAATTAATAAATAAACTATTATTCTCGAGAATACTAAATCATTTAAATTTTCACGTCCTCCAAATAAAAGCTTCGGAGATGCAATCTAGCAAACTATGTCGCAGAAGAACATGTATAAGTGTTCCAAAGACTTCAAAGAGGGTCGGAGACGCATTAATGATATGGAGCGCTCGGGATGACCATCAACGTCAACTGATGTGCAACAAAAAATTAGTGCTCAAAAATCGTCGATTGACTGTTAGAGTCCTTACTGATATGGTTGGAATATCTATCAGAAGGATCTGTAAAAATGATTTTGAAAGACTATTTGGGCCTGCAAAAAGTCAAATCTCGTTTGATTCCAAAAACTATCAATTTCATGGAAAACAGTCGTCGCATTGATGTATGCGAAACCATGCTCTCTTCCTACTAGGACAAGCTGAAATGCATGATAACAAGAGGTGAGACGTGGATCTATGCCTACGACACTTAAAACCACCGACCAATCAAGCGAATATTGTGCTACAGGTGAGGCAAGGCCAAAAAAATTACGTCAAAGTTGCTCAAAAATCAAGGTCATGTTGACTTCTTCGATTTTCGTGGTGAGGTGCACTATGAATTATTTCCGCCCGGTCAAACGGTCAATAAGGAATATCATTATAGTGATTTAATGCTCGTTTGCATTAAGCTATTTGCAAAAAAAGACCAAAATCATGGGACAACAATTTTTGGTTTTTGCATCACCATAATACACCGTTGCACGCAGCACTCATTCTTCGTGATTTTTAATTTCGCAAACAAATTCACCTTACTTTTTACACACAGTAGTACAAGACCAACCCTGTGAGGATCAACAATACAACAACAATATTTACTTTTTTTTGACCTCTGTAGCAACACCAGACAAATTTCTGGTATTTATTTGAAAATCAGGCTTAGCCGTTTTTGGCCTCAAAAACTATGTACATTTGCTCACATTACATTATAGTGACGCAATTTCATTCGAATGATAACTTTCGATTTCTTTCCATAAAATACAAATATTTTTACACTAACATTATACGATTTGGGTGTGGGTTGAGTAATATTACTAAATTGGACACAAAAAATTAATAAATACATAATTAAAATCTTCCATAAAACTTTTCACCGCTCGGTTATTAAAACACTTTCTTCGATACGTGCACATTCCATATAAGAAAATTGGAATAGAAAATGCATTTTCGAATGAAATGAAGTGGCAAATGACGGAAAAGGCCCACAGCGACTCAACTGACGGAGGTGGCGGAAGAATACAAATTAGTTAGTAAATAAGCGAAGAAAGAGCATTGTAACAAATGGATTTTTTTATCAGTTGTTTTTGAATTTTAAAATTTTTTTATAAATTAATTAGCTTTAATTGCAATTGTTTTTCGTTTGAATGTAAAACCAAAATAAGCAAAAACAAACAATAAATATTTTTAATACAATCTAAATAAATTTTTACTTAGAAATAAAGGTATAATTTTAATTTTATTTAAATAAAAATTTTTTTAAATTAATTTTTGCTAAAAATATTTAATAAAAATAAATAATTTTATTTTTTTTATAAGTATTTTAAACTTTAAAAGTGATTTTTTTTTTGACATTTTAACATACATAAATAAGAAATGAATTAATAAAAATTACATATTTATTTAACCAAAATTCTGATTACTCACCTCGACCTTCGATTCGTCACTTCGCCACACAAAAGTATTTACTTTTCGTCAACACGTTGAATACCAAAAATTCCGAATATTTGTTTGTTTGTGTTTATAATGTTTTTTTATTTTTTATTTCTTAATTTCGCGCACAAAGCGAGAGAATCCCCTTAAACAATTTTTAAGTTATATTATGTATTATATAATATTTTCTTTAATTTTTAAATTATTTTCGAAAAGTTTTGGATTAAATTTAATAACCGTAAAAATCACTCGTTCCCTCGTAAGCTTCAAAATACTAAAAAATTAAATAATTCGAGCATGAACAAATGCATATATACATACATACACGTGTATTCACAAATATATGCACTTGAAAAATATTTCATAGAAGCGTTGCCAATGCAAAACGGCCAAATCACTTGGTATTCCGCACAGGAAATAGCGGCAGCAACGTCAGCCAACACAACCGAAGTCTGTTAAATGAAGTTACGCTTCGTTTTTTTGCATTTGACTTTGAAAAAAAAAAATGAAAAGAAAAAAAAAACTCAAACATGCAAGTATGCATGTGCACGTTGCACACATATACACATATATATATAGTGTGAGGCATGTATGTGTTAGTGGGAGCGGTGTTGGGTGGTTATGTAGGCGCCCACTTTGACTGAGTGCACACTGAGGCTTTTCGCAAACTCTCACACTCACACACGTATGTGTAAGCGTGTGCGTGTTCATAAGGCTTTTGACTTATTTCAGGTGAATAATTTTTAAATTGAAACTCAACATAATCAAATAGAATCTAAAACGATTTGTAAATTAGTGAGGTCTGAGCTCGTAAATAAATTTTATAGTTTTTTAAATATTCTTTGCTTGCATTAAAAGTATTTTTGCTTAATTGCCTTTGAGTTGATTATTTTCAGTATATGTATGTATGTGGTAGCAATGTTATCACAAAATTGTTTTTTTTTTTTGAATCCTTTGTACTGCTTAACCCTTAAAGTTCTCGAGAAGGTTTTCAGGTATATTTAAAGCAATTAAAAAATTATCAATTAATTGGCCTATCCATTTCGTGGTGTATTCTGACTTTTCTCAAACTTAACTGTAAAACCAAACAAATTTTATTTCAGTTAAAAATCAGGCTTGTATGCCAATGAATTCCTTAAGAGGCAAAGCCACTCTAGGGGTTGGAAAATAGACTCATTTTTAGAAATTTTTTGTACGGATATGGGAAAAGGAATAAAATTTCTACGGAATCATTTAATTGAACATTTATTGAAGTATAAAAAAATATTATTTAATTATAATTTTGTAGCGAAATAGCGGTGATAAAGTTTATTATTTAAACCATGTTTTTTGAAAGGCGTCCACAGGAGAACCGGTTTTTTTTTATAAAGGATCAAACCGAGAACAGAAAAGCAAAAAACTTTATGATCTACAAACTATGGTCTTTGGAAGTGCATACGGATTTATTTTTTAACTAATTTTTGTGAAAGCGGGGCATTTTATATTAATATATTGATTTTTGACTAAAAAATACTACTCACTAAATTATGAAAAAAAAATTACATTTAATTGAAAAACGCATACGTGCCTCCAAAAAAAAAATGTATTTCTGAAGCTAAAAACAAAACTTCAGCTTGAAAAATGTAATTTTGAGAAAAGTTTTCACTGTAGACAGAGCACGCTCTGAGGTGCTGCAGCAAAACAAAAACTTCAGCTATTTGAAAATTTTTTTTTCACTTTAAAACCAATTGCATATCACCCAAGGTACTCTGCGAGCGAAAAAAAAATTGCGTTTTCCAAAATCCTAAAGTGGCTTTACCCCTTAACAACCACACAACGTACTCGTATAGAAATTGTTAGTACCTACTACAGAAATATTGTTTCCAATGTGGTCACTTTTCATGCTTTAAGAGGAGATTATGATGCAAAGAACCGTCCAACTATTCAAACAATTTGTAAAATTTTAAAGAAATTTGAAGAGACTGCAATGCTTCCTACTCAAATATCGCTGTTGTCAGGGACAGCATCGACGAAAACCGGAGTGTGTATATTTCTTAAGAGCTTGGACTTTGTTGCGGCACATTATGGTGTATTTTTCATTTGGCTCTCCGCCTATATCAATCTAAAGTCACATGGGATCTGAAGCCAGCTGCCTCATTCAGAAACGCGGAACTTACGTCGATTGGGTGCTTGAACGACATGAGGCGAACACCGATTTTTCGAACAAAACTTTGTTCAACGACTAGCCACATTTCTCACTCGGCGCTCCGAGAATCACCAAATAATTGAAAAGAAGTTCATTTTTTACACCGGTGTTGTGACTGGACCTTACTTAACTGCCATTTCGGCGCATTATAATCGTATGGTAATCTCCTTTTTTGGCCTGTAATTGAGGACATCTTAAACAATATACACAACACGAGCCAATATGGCTTTATAACGAGAGAAATTTCTCTCGTCTGGCGATGTCAATTGGCCACCGAAATCGTTCGATTTGACTTCGAAGGACTTCTTTTTTGTGAGCCTACGCGAACGACCGCGTTTCTATGTATGAAGCTTTATTTCTCGATCATTTGCAAATGCTCAATACGTATGTGCTAAAAATGGCCGAAATTACCTCTAAAGGATCGGAGTTCACAAAAATTTCGCGAGGTGGGCATTTGAAAGATGTAGTGCTTCTCACATATAATGGCGAGTATTAAATTTTGTACTAAAAAGGGAAGGGGATTTCATGAAATAAAAATTATTAAAAAATATTTTATTTCGAAACCGCAATATTGATAAATCTGATTTTTTTAAATGTTGCACTCCTTCCGGGCACAATTTTTGTATCATATGACTGAGTGTATGATTGTTTACTGCTCAGTTTTTCTCGTCATTCTTAAACTTGCTCTATTTCAAGAAAAACTTATTGGAAGCTAGCCCGGGAAGAATTGACAAATAATTATAAGAAGAGCAAGTTTGCGTACTGCCATTCGGAAGGCCCTACTGGTACGACCAACATCCAAAAAAAAAGAAAATTAAGTTAAATTTTCTAATTGCGATCATCCCTCGGTAGGGTATGTCAACCCTAAACATTCTTGATCTCACGAATGAGCGAAGGTAATCTTCTATCTACTCTGCTTATCGTATCCACCAATGCAGGACCGAATTATCGTAATAAAGTATGGCCTAAGCGAACATCTTTAACCTCTTGGCAAAAAGATTTGAAATATTTACACCGTGAAGTCCATGTGGCGCTCGCATTAATCCCCATTAATATCACTTATAAGTTCCTACTCATCTGACTTCGTAATCTCACTGCTTCAACAGTGTGTTTTCAGATTTGGAATATGTTCCTTAACCAGGTTTTCACTAAGCTCTCAAAAAGGTCTGTGAGTAGAGAAGTGACAAATCACACTTTTTCTTCGATTTTGAAGCGATAACATAACACAAAGAGAAGTCGATATGATGGTAAAACTCACAAACTGACTGGTCATTCGGCAGTGGAAAGGACCCATCAAAATTAACCGGTACACAAAGGAGGTTTCAGCATACACGAATCTCTATAGAATGAAAGGCATTCAGTGCAGTGCTCGATGGTGTAAACAAGCAAAGCCTTCCACTTCTTTAAGAATAGCAGTTAGTGGCAGACCTTGCTGCATTTGGTAACCTCAGTCTGAAGAGCTTCAATGCAGAATTTCGTGAGAATTTGACCCAATCTTTTAAGATAATATTTGTACATTCTTAATTTCAAACCAAGGACCTTCCTATGATATTTACATATTTATTTCTCTAACTGTAAATACAATATTATCTTTTCTTTAATCACTATACACACTTTTCTTAAAAGTTTTATGCACTGAAATTTTTTTCAAGCTTCATTGGGCTTGTACTTCAATTGAATTAATCCTTCTGATGTAAACACTTTTACCGCAAAATCACATAAAAATACATGCGCGGCAAGAAAATTTATTTTTAGCCAACTTTGATGATATCGAAACGGATTATTTTAAGAATATTAATTTCCGCGCAAACCGTGCTTCACGCTTGCGCAATCGCCGAGTTCTGCGCGCTGGTTGCTGAAATCTTCGCCTTGTCGTCTTGAACAGCGAAAATCTGTTCGCATTCTAATCGCCGTCACAGTCAAAAGAGACATTCAAAACAAAAAAACCAAAAGCATAAATGAACGACAGATATCAAGCGAGCTCAGCCTACGAGCTTACCACATACAAGTACGATGCTGGGGTAGAAGACGGCGCTGCAGGCGCTTCGATTTCAAGTTCACACTTTGATTTTCTGTTTTTTTTTCCACACATACGCATATTTATGTATGTACATATGCTTATGCCCACACTTCGACGTACTTTTCTTTCTTAAACTTTTTCTGCTGCTGCTTCTTATTCTTCCGCACTAAGTCTGCGACTGCGTAAGTGGTTTGGGGCTCGGTTGTCTTGTCATCCAGCGAACCAGCGAACCAGCCAGCCTGTCGTTCCGGTATTCAATTTGTGACCGATGCACAACGCTCAAACGTTTTTGCTCAACTGACTGGTGTGGAGTTGTATGCATTGCGTGACAGGCATGGCTGACGTAGCGGTCTTGGAGTCTCCAGTGGGCCGCCCAATACCCAATACCGCCACTTGTATGCTCCCACTCTTTTGTGCCCATGCGTTCCTTGTTTATTGTTTATTGTTTGTTGTTTTTATCGTTTGCATATATTAAAATTATTTCTTTTTTCTGTGTTGGGTTTTGTCATTCTTATTTGCTTTGCATGCCAAGGAATCAACGATCGCATTTTAATTTTTTTTCTCTTTTTTTGGTGGCGTACATTTACAATCTTTTGATATTGACGCTAACGTCGACGCATCGTGAAGTGGGCAAGCTGCTACACGTTGCACCGATGGCAGAGAATTACGCATGCGCAAAACGTGCGGTGAAGTTGACGCGTTACGTGTAAAATCAATTGACTGTACGATCAGCCGATCGGTGGCGCAGGGTGTCGAGTAAAGTAGTATTGCTGTTGTTGAGTGCCGTAAAAGACGGCCTTGTTGAAAATTGCGTGTTATAGTATTTGTGGCTTTCTTTTTATTTTGTTTAATTGTTGCAACATTGTGTTGGGTTTAGTAGGTAAAAGCAAGCGTTGTGTAGGTAAAATGGTCTGAAAATTAATAAAATTGCGTTTAAACCGGTCGATTTATCAGCAATTTAGATCGTTACTTGATGCTCCCGCAGCTTTGATTTTGCTAAAATTAGTCTTATACACATTGCATAACTCGGTGTAAAGTTTTTGTTGGCAGAGAGATTGTTGTGCTCCAGTTCTTATATATATATATTTTATATATAACTTAGTAGAAAAACAAATAAATTGAGATAAAATAAAATAAAAATTCAAAAATAAAAAATAAGAAACAAATAAGAAAAGGAAATTAACTAAAACAAAAAACAACAAAATAAAAAAATTAAAATGAAATAAATTAATATAATATAAAATAAAATAAAATAAAATAAAATAAAATAAAATAAAATAAAATAAAATAAAATAAAATAAAATAAAATAAAATAAAATAAAAAAAATTAAAATAAATAAACTATACCAAAATTAACTAAATTAAAATAGAATAATAGGAAATCTAATAAAACTAATTAAATAAATAATAAAAAAAAAATAAAATAAAGTAAATAAAATATTAAGCTAAGCAAGTACAATAAAATAAAATTATGTTAATAATAAAAATTAAAATAAAATAATAGAAAATGAAATAAATTAAAATAAAATAAACTAAAACGAATTAGAAAAAAGTATAATCAAAATTTGTTATTGTTTCTAGTTTATGTATTCTCTTGGCATTTGTTACGGTGCATAAATAAAAATATTTTTGCATATAGAAAAATTTTATTATTTTCAATGTCAATGTAATACATATATATATATATATTATAATATGTTTAATAAATCACCATTCAAGTGCGCATCACGCCTGTAGCCAACGCATGTTGGCTGTCAAATCGTGGATTATGTGACATGTGAAATGTCAAAGCAAACAATGCAAATACGTACACACATTCAACTGTTGCCAAAATATTTGTTTAAGCGTATTTGAATATTTAACGAAATTGTTATACATATGTACTAGTATGTGTGTTTATGTTTCGACCTACATACATATATACAGATATATATACAAGAACGATAGCTTTGTCCACTCTCCAATAAGTAGATAGAAGCAAAAAAGCGACGAAAAAAGAAATACCAAAATGAGATAGAGACCGTTGAAAGATTCTTAATGAAGGCGTTCGTGGTGCGTTATGCTTTGACGGGGTTAAACAATTTTGTCATTAACAATTATGGGATTATTATTGTTGTAGCCACATTATGACGACGACGTTCAAGTAATTCCTAATAGGTAACAATTTACATCGGTTGGTTCACATGTGTGTTATTAATTTTCGAAAAATCGATACAGTCTGCAGAAACTGGATTGCCTCTTTCTTTTCATTCTTATTTTGGCCCGACAATCGTGCTTTGTTGGTGATTTATTTCACTTTTAAAGATAAGAATTTTAATTTGGCCTATTGGTGGCAACTGGTGACAATTGAAATCGTTATTTTCCATACATATACACGTGTGGTTGAGTGTTTGTTTTGTGGCGAAGTGCGTGAAGTGAGTTTTGCAAATAGGTTTCGTGACTAGAGGATTAGCTAAAAGCTGATTAAATGGCTTTGTAGGGGGAGAGACTATTAAATGGCACGGCCCCTCAAGTTTCAATGCGTTCATCGAACCCGAGAAAGAGATAACTCTAGTGAAGCCATAACAGGAAACATGTGGTAACTGTTGCAGAATAGAATGAAAACTTATGTCAACTTAAACCTGAGGATACATTCCAAATTTGAAAATTAATTCTACTGCAAGTGGAGCTCTCCTTCATGCGCAGAAGAAGATTTCAGTACTTTGCACCGAAGCTTTGGTGGACACCCGAATTGACAGAGTCAAACAGCAGTATTTTAAACGAACCCAAATTGGCTTTCTATAAGGTGACTCCGAGAATCTACAAGAGCGATGACAGTGTGGACAATCTTAGTGGTATTCTTCTCGAACCCTGGACTTCGGAACAAGTAATGAAGAGATTACTTGATTTGTATACAAGGAACGCGGTTCTACGGGTTTGCAATCTGGTATATTTCTTCGTTGAACAAAACTGTTGATAAATTTAACCTTTATGCGACAAAATTTCAAAGGAGTGGAACTTGTATCTATGTGCAAGGTCAATAAAAGCGCTCCGTAATCTCAGAACTTGCTATGATTAATAGAAGAAGAAAAGTAGTGTATATAGGATGGACCAGATAGTCAGTACCTATAATAATACCATTAAGACGGAGCTTGTATTACTCATCGGGAAGTGTAAAATACTTTTAGTTCTTTGTTCTCCAAAGATCACAACTCGCACGCACGACACGACATAAGATTAGGTACAGTTTAGTTATCCACATGGTATTCATGTAGTGAGGTTTGGAATCCTGCAGAAATGACAGCACTCATACCTTTTCGTCTAAAATGTCCCATGCGACAGGGCAGAGGCTGGGAAGTCCGGCAGCGTGCAGAATAATATATTCACAATAAACACACCTATCTAGATTATGTAGGACCTTTTAGATCAGTCTGCTCAACATCAACTAACCTAACCTGCAGATAAGATCTGTTGCGCATGGATGCCTGGAGAAGTTGCTGCAATTAAGAAAGTCTTACCATTTCGGCGTGATTCTTCAAGATAATGTGTTAAGCATTACTGTGCGGTCAACAATCTTGTGTATGTTGATAGCTAAAGAATCCTTGATCTCTCTATTGACTGTGATTTCTTTATCTCAATGGGTAAAATTTCGGTGTCACAGGCACCAAGGACACTTTTGGTACCTCTAGATCGTTGTGTCTTATTTTAACTACGTTTAAATTGGGACAGACCGGCTGGAAGGTAGGGCGTGTTCTTGAAACCTGCTATATAACCCGTCTTGCATATACCTCGTACAACTTTTTATTACATTGTCTGGGCTATCCGTCGTTGGAAATGCTTAAAAGGCCATAGATTTTCGGCGAGGATTTTCTCTCAAAAACTCCTTGATGTGTTATCATCAGCCATGCCTCCGTACTATCTAGTTGGACAGGGATAATATCAAGTCTAGAGAAAGCAGAACCAATTATATTAACATCAGCGGTGTTTTTGCTATTGTTGTTATAGTTGCATTTTGCCCACGCTCCTTAGGCACAGACTAGAGTCTAAGTCATCGAGGTCATGTAACGGGAGGTCATATAACGGGAGGTCATATAACGGGAGGTCATATAACGGGAGGTAATCTAACGACAGGTCCAGGAATCGAGCTGTTATGACAGGTTCGAATCAGAGAGAGAGAGGGTGATTAGATTAGTTGGTTTTTGGGGGGGCATACAAAGAGGTGGGTAGTGTCGTTCGGGGACTCGTTACACGCAGGCATACGTTCGGTTTGTCGAGGTCGAGTCTGGATAAATAGGAGTTTAGTCGACTACAATGTCCAGACTCAAGGAAGCTCGAGCTCTTTGTCTGCTATGACCGAGAACGCCATTCATAGGGGGTGAGTTTATGAAGATGTTGACATACTATTTACCTTTCTGATGTATCTGGGTGGAGGTTCGACTTCTAATAAATATCCCTATGGTAGCTTTCCAGCAGAATTTGCTTGAACTGTAAAGCATTATGCGCCTTAACTCGTAGCAATGAAGCTTCGCTGCGCAAGTTATGTTCTGGTGGCATTCCTGTCACGGTCCTGAAGGCGGTGCTTTGACTGGCTTATGACTTCTTTAACGGCGTCTCGCAGGTCTTCGGCGGCCAACTCTTCCGACAGCCGGTTCTAAGCACCGGATTAGGCATGTATTTCATCCAGACAGGGGTTGTAAATCTTTCGGCGATCTCACCCCATTTAGATCAGCAGGTAGAGCTACTCACAGTAAGTGCAGTGAATTTAGTTCCGGCTTATAAAAGCGACTCTTAAGTCCAGAAAGACAAAATTTCATTTTCCTGGTTTTGTACTGACATATTTTCAATATCAACAGTGGATTTTATTTAAAAAAAATTATTTTTTTTAAATTGAGAATGTAATTTCTGATTACCCACTAAATACAGTTGAATTATGGGCTGCCATTATTTCAGTTTTCAACTTTTATTTTCACCACTTGTGGCATCCATCATTTGCGTCGTATTCAGATTTAAATGCCATAAAAAAAAAGAAACAAGAAACAAAAACGACAACAACAACACCACAAAAGCTCAACACTAATTTACGCTTTTCCCAGCAATTTAATTGCAAATGTAGCAGCGTAGGAAATAAATACAAGTTTCCCCATTTAAGGGTTTGTTGAGTGCCTCTCACATACATCCTATGTCCTATCCTATCCAACATGGCATGCATTGGCAGCAGCGAACATCAACATCATCAAGCGACGAAATGAATAACAACGACAAATGAAAAATTGCAACAGAAATCACACAAAAGGATGACAAATGT